AATTAGTAAAATAAAATTTTCTATATACAGATAAAAACTCACATTATGTATATAAATTTTATAAATAGTAAAAAATCTGGTAAATTACTGTAGGCCTCTGTATAGAGTACCAGAACTGCAGAAATCAAAAAATAGAAAACAAATTTTTTGTGGAATGGCAATCACTAAAAAAAAAATAATTAGCATTATAATTGTATAAAATATAAGGAATATGGAAATTTAAAAATAGAAAAAATTTTTTGTAGAATGGCTATTATCAAAAAAGGAAATTGATTGATATACTTGCGTATATAGAAATTAAAAATCATGTGATTTTTCATAATTATCATAATTCTACCCAAAATTTATAATTTCAGCTAGAATTATGAAAATTGATCAGATTATACTGAATAATCTGAAATCCGATAAATAAAAATCCAGATAATCTAAAATTTGACCAGATCAGATGATGGATTGATCAGATTTTACTAGAACTGATCTCTATATTTGATAAGTCACATATATATTAATCAATTAAAATAAGCCTATACGAGATGTAGTTTATTTTACAGTCATCTTGTTTAGGACTATTCTTAAATATACTTATCTTATCTTAAAAAATCTTTTTGCTAAAATATTCTCTTTAATGAATTAAAGTTCTATAATGAGAAGAAGAATACTTTATTTTCTTATTTACTCAAACCATAATATAATTGAAAATATTTTAAAAGTTTAAAATTTTGCAATAATTTTAAAAGAAAAGAAAAATTTTGAAGAAAATAAAAGAATTCTTAAACAAATATTTATAATTAAAAGAAGTGACTATAAAAAAATTTTTAAGATTATGAGAATTATTATCATAGAAAAATTAATTTTTTCTCTAAAACTTTTATTTTTATAGATAAATTAAACTAGAAAATCTAAAAAATGATATCAAAATTGTTCTTATAAAAGACCTTATGAATTTTTTTTTTATAATTCTATAGAAACAGAAATTTCAAAATTAATATACTTTATTATTACACAATCTATTAGGATTGTGCAGAATTTAATGTACTGATATTTTTTTAATTATAACTGATATTTTTTTGCTGCTAAACATTATATTAATAATAATATATATACTAATCCTAATAGATAATATAATAATATTGTTATTAAATAGGGTTATATCAATTTTTGACTGATATTTTATTTAATACTCTGTTTAATAACATATAATTATTGAAGATACATAAAAATAATTATAGAAATTTAAAGATATATTTAATAAAAGATGAATTTATTTGTCAATATCTTTTGAATATGTATAAGCAGATTTGTGATTGATAAGAAAAATGCAAAATCTATTGAAAAAGACATTTGCAAAATCTTTGCAAATAGTATAAAAAACTTATCACGTCAATATATAAATAAGTATTATTTGAAAACATATTATTATTAGAAGTTAGATGTTATAAAAATTTTTATTTTTTTTCTTGTAAATTAATGTTATCTAATATGATTTTTTTTAGTATTTTAAGTATTTGAAAATAACTAAATTGATACAAAATGGTAATCCTATATCATACCCTTAATATCTTATCAGATAACCATCCTAATGAAGAAGGGTAATTCTATACATACTCTCAATATCTTATCTAACAACTAAACTGATACAAAAAGGTTATTATATATTATATCTTTAATATTTTATTTAATAACTAAGCTGGCATAGAAGACTAAAACTCTCATCATAAAATCTAATGAATAGAAAGCTAATACTGTAACTTAAGAACTTAATACTTAAAATAAGAAGTAAAATGTAATCATTAGATTATGAAATTATTATTATATTAAATATTACAATTGCTATTAGATTATGAAGTTATTATTCAATTAAACAATTTCATAAAATAATATAATAGGAATTAATTAAAATAATAACTAGAAAGCTGTAAAGAAAATCAAATTAAGTTACCATTAAATTATACAACTAGGTTATAAAGTTATAATTAGATTATATAATTAGATTATGAAGTTATCACTAAATTATGAAACTATCATCAGATTATGAAGTTACTTCTAGGTTATGAAATTACTATTAAATTATAAAGTTACTTTTAGATTATAAAATTATCTTCATAACTTAATCTAAATTGTTGATGATTTGTAATATAATTATATTATAAATTACCAGTGACTAAATCAATATAAGATTTAAAGAAAATCAGAAATAATTATCATAAAATAAATTTAACAAAATTAGTTATAAACATTAAATTTAATTTAAAATTATTTTAGAAAGAAAATTTATTTAATTGTTTATATTTACTAATCTCAAAGTATTTTAGAAATTGATTTTTTTTAGCTTATTTTTTTTATAATTCAGAAATTAAGAGAAAAATAAAAGTTCAAAATAGAGTTATTTATATTTAAATTTATTATATTTTTAAAAAGTACGATAGTTTCACAAATATTTATATTATTATTTTAAACTATTATTTTTCTTTTTTTACATATATTAATACTAGCTAAAAGTATACCAATCAGTTATAATAAGATAGGTTAAATTTTGGCTGAATTTTAGCTAATTGTTAATGTATGTCAATTGACTAGACTAATTTTTGATAATTTACCAATTTTAGGCTGATTTTAGGCCAATTTTTATATATCTATTTTTTTAATTTTGATTAACTATATTAATGAGACTAATAACATTCAAAAATTTTAATGGCAATTTGAATATACTTTTATGGTTCTAATTTCAGATCATATTAATTCAGGAAAAATCAATGAAGTTCTTAATTTTATGCTTAGAAATAAGCTTTGTTAAATGCTTAATAGAAAGAAATAAAAAATATGTTATATAAAGTGTGATGATTTGATTTTGATCAACCACTATCTTAAAAAAGTCAAAATATATGTTCTCAAATCAACCTTTTAGAGTCTAAAGCTATACTATGAAGATATTACATTTTGGACTATGAAGTCTGATAAAATTCCAAAGTTTGATACATTTTTTTTAGATAGAGATATGGTAACTATATTTGAAGATCTATGTGCTGATTCTAAAAATGTGCAAAAAAAATCATTTCTTATTTTGTCAAAGAATGACACTCCAACTTTAGCTCAATATTATATTTTAGAGTTATTTTGATTGCCCAAAGATTATATGAAAAAATCTCATACGTGTTTGTTTATTTAACAGCTGATGCATCATGGATGAGCTAAGCAAAATTTGTTTAAATGTTAATGATTGGCGTAATATATACAAAGTTATTGACAGGCATTTAACAAAAATTTATTGTTTTCGATCTAACGAGCTAACTATACCTCGCGAGCATCCACACAGAATACAGCTTGGTTGGGATACGATACTTCCTTAGCAAATAGAATCTAATTCCATAGATGTCTACTTTTTTCTGCTTCCTGCATTGTATCTTAATTTTATACCGCATTTTCTTATTTGCATGAACCCACTCATTATATTCTTGGTTTACATCTCACATGAATTTCTTAAAAGTTCTTTTTCGTTCATAACCCAGCGATTGTTTTCTTTTCGTGATCACAGATAATATTATCAGCTTGAATTTCACCATCTGTGAGATATATAACCGGTAATGCTAGGAATACAATACATTCTGATCAGCTTCGAAAATGCAATAATTTTTTCTGAACCATTTTTTTGCATTTCCAATTTAATAAGTTTTCATAAACCCCACTTTTTTCTCACAACTGTTCAAAAAAAAGATAATAGCAATCACATGATTAAATGTACACAATTCTGAAAAATGAATACCTTATTCTTTTGAAAAATTAAATTTCGGTACATCATTTACATATCACACATATAAATATATAAATACAAGTCATAATTTGGCAAACTTTATTAACATTTAGCCGTAAAGCACTTACAGCAAAAAAAAACTAGAAATTACAATTAGGTCGCGTGATATAGACAAAAGCATGACTAAAACATAACTACGCCATCTGGGAAATACTAGTTACCAGTTTACATAGCAGGGTTATGAATTTATTCACGATCAGTCATGTGGTTTTTTAAGAGAAAACACAGCTTAAATAGCTTTGAATAGGCTATTATCAACTTAGTAATATTGCCTCCACTTTAGAAGATCCTGTAGAGATTTAGGGATCTTTAGAACATTCCGAACTGTATCTCTTCCACCATAGTTAATAGTAAAATCAAGTTCTTGCATTATTGAAAGTTGTTTCATAAACTCGTCCTGGAAAAGGTCTTTTAAGTGATACAGAAAAAAAAAAAAGAGAAATACGATAGCATATTTACTTACATGAAAAAGGACCATTAGGTAAAGAACTGCTTTGTATTTTGATCTACCCTCAAATGAAAAAGGAATCACAGCGGAAGCTAGTTCAGTTGCTAAAAAAGAACCATCTTCTCTCATGCTAAGTGAATATAGTGTGATTCGATATCCTAGCAATCAAGCACAAAACAGATCAGTAACTCGAAGCCCTCACTTTTTAAATAATAAAAACACCTACCAATGGCTTGTAAACTGAACACCTTTATGTTCATAGCAGTCTTTAAAGGAACGTCCAAGTGATCAAGTAAAAGCGCTACAAGATTCAAGATATCGCTATGCAATTACTTTTTTGTGTCACCAACTGCATGATCTGTTGTTGGTGATGATGGTGGTCCAGAAACCTCCATGTGCCATATTTCTTTATCGTCAAATGATCGGACTCCTTTCAATATTTAAGAGACTATTATTAAATATATTATAAATGAAATTATTTAAAACCATTTATTGTTTACCTTTCGCATCCAACTTAACAATTCCAGAACTGGTTGGTGATTTTGACAATTTCGCTGATAGGGAGTGAGATTCAATCCAGTCAATAGTTATATTGCCGAACGTTGTTTCATAAAATTTAAAAAGCGAAGATAAATTTTGTACAATGTATTTCCTCTCCCCAATTTTTCTTGAGAGAGTTGGAAAAACATCTACCAGATTGTAACTAAAAGAAAAAATAAGAATAAGCATTTATTCATTGTAGATAACGATAAATGACAAAGACTCACAAATCCATCAATATCTTTTCGCAATATAGGCGGAATTTATTATCATTATCTCCTTTAATTTTTTGCATGATAGCTTCTTTGAATGCTTCTCCCGACTCCTATAAAACGAGCGGAAAGACGTCAAATATGTTGCAATCCACCATAACTAAGATAAATTAGAGCTTCCAATAAATCATTGAATAAATTCAACATCCATGAGAACTTGCCTTCAGAGCATCCTCAAGATAGCTCTCGACTTTGGTCCACATAGGTGGTGCTTGAACGTGAATTCGGTTATACTCCAAAGACTGTCCCATTGCATTAAGATAGCTAATATATAATAAAGTAATCAAAATTTACTTGCTCCAGGTTAAATACCTACTATGAATATGAAACTCACCAAATAACCTTCTCATCATACATTAGTCGCTTGTTTGGAGTATGAACATCATCACTTCGTGGCAGGGGAGGTAGAGTACTTATTATATTTTTTTTGTTGTGTTCCTAAATAATAGTAATAGTATTATGTTAGAAAGTTCGCTTACATTTTCAATAATTAAGTGCTTTAAAAAAAAATTACTATACCTTATTTAAATTTCCCGATTTTGTTACTATTTCAAATTTATCGGATATATTTTCGTTTGATAATAAAAAAGGATTGTCATCTCTTCGTGGAGTAACTACACTTTTTTCGTTGCGTTCCTAAATAATAGTAATAGTATTATGTTAGAAAGTTCGCTTACATTTTCAATAATTAAGTGCTTTAAAAAAAAAATTCCTATACCTCATCTAAATTTCCCGATCCTGTTACTTTTTCAAATTTATCGGATATATTTTCGTTTGATAATAAAAAAGGATTGTCATCTCGTGGAGTAACTACACTTTTTTCG